ATATATATATATATATGCTGGCACAAAAAAACAAAAATAAAATTTGTCATAAAATTTTTCACTAAGGAGCGCTTGGTATCCAAAAATTATTTTAAGAAAAATTTTAATTTATAAGTTTAAAATCATAGCCGTGACCATACTGTCCCATATCATTAATTTTAAAATCATGTTAAAATCAACGGACTAATATAGTTACGATTTTAAATTTTTAGGACAAATTTATACTTTAACTAAAAAAACAGCAAATACATTTATAACTGCAGATCCCATTTGTTTTACAAAATTGGCATCGTTCCTGGCTTATTAATTTTACGACTTTCTACAAATTTTAATAAAAGATATATGTTTTAAAAGGGGCAATTGAAAACTATCAATAAATTGACATATTATTGATATTTATGATGATGATTGTGTGTGTATATTGTGGGACATTTAAATATTCGACGATTGCTTCAAAAGTAATAAATGATCGTCATTATATTTTAATTAAATTAATATTGTAACCACTAAATATTTTTGTTGCCGGACTCTAAATTATTATTATTATTAATTTATTATTAAACACGCATATATTTTTTTTAAAACAAAATAACAACATCCTTTTGCTACTTGGCATTTTAAAAAAATAAAATTATGTAAAAATAAGGGGAAAATGACATAAAAATGAGAGGGTACGCGAAATTCCTTTGTCCTCTTCAATGGTTGATTTTATGCTATGTTTAGATGAAGAGAAAATGAGATGCAAAGGAAAATCAAGAAAGAAAATCTAGGGAGAAGTGGTTTTTCTCCTATTTGGATGAGGGGAGAAAAATGAGAGGAAAGAAAAGTTGGGAAAAAAAATTAAAATGGGTCCCATATCTCATTTTCCTCTTAATTTTTCTCTCCATATATGGAGAGAAAATGAGAAGAAAATGTATTTTTCTTCTCTACCCTTACATATGTTTTTTTAGCAAAATAATACATTTTTTTTTTATTTTTTTCACTTTGTTTATTATTATCAAGTCTTTTTTCTGTGTTTGCTTTATTGAAAAATAAAATAACTAAAATTGCAAAAACCATTCTAAAATGAACTGAAAGGAAAAACAAGTAGAGTTGTTGTTTTGGTTTTTTTAGCATTACATTACACAAAATATTATTTTTTTTCTTTTTTTACAAAATTATTTGAAATTAAAATATAATAACATGATAATATATCTTTATCAAATAATTTGGTTTTAAATTATATGATTATGTTAATATAAATATGGTTTTTCATTATGATATTTAATTTGATTTTAATCAAGATATATTTTGCTATAACAGAAGGGCATTTTAGTCATTCATATGTTTACTCATTTTCTTTCCTTTCTGTTTTTTCTTGTCCATTCAAACATGAAAGGTGATAATATTTTCTCTCTAATTTTCTTTTCTCTACATTTTCTCTCCTCTCATTTTCTTTTCTCTCAACTTTTCTTTCCATCCAAACAAATGGTTAGGGAAAATAACAGAAAAATGACAAATTAACTTCACAATGTCAAAAATATCTGTTGAATTTGAAAAATCCTAATTTAGTCTCAAGAAATTAATTTGACATTTATAAATTTGCTGAAATGACCATATTACCCTTCATTTTATTTATTGTTTTTAAAATATCAAAGCCTTTACTAGCAGACCAGTCACCGAAACTTCGACGGTGATAATCGCCGGAGCTCTAGCGACCAATTGTCATTTAGTTCATGTAATCAATTTATGAATATAATTAGCCAGATTTGAAAATTAAAAATTAATATCCTTCCAAGTTTGGTCAATCATAAAAAACTGTGAACATAATTAGCTTTTCTAAGACCAAGTCGCAGGCTCCTCGGGAAAGGAAGGGAAATCCGTGCACAAATAGTTTTTTTTTTTTTTAAAGAAAATTATTTTTCAGTTTTTTTAATGATTGGTCAGCCGAACAAATTGGGTTTTGACTGCTAAACTTGGGTTGACTCTCAAGTTGTTATTAGTTTTATAATTTAAAAATTAATAATTTTCTATATTTTGCTTTGTCAATGATTGTGCCCTCACTAAAAAAGAAAATTATCTTGAAAGACCATAACACTGAAATCATTAAAATTTATCATACTGAAATCATCAATATAAAATATGATTACTACTCGCAATTCTGCTATTTATATAAATTATAAATAATGTGATTTATTTTTAAATATGTACGACACATGAGAATCATGTTAGTACTGTTATGAATGGATTAGGATTTCTATATATTAAACATTTTAAAATTTGATGATCATATGACTTTCACTATGATTTTAAGAAGATTTTTGAATTTTTTTAATGCTATAGCTGTCTTAATTGTTGTATAACTTGAGCAAATTCATACTCTGGACCAAAAAATTATGCTATATATTATAAATTTTAAGTTGTAATTTAGATCTCAGAAACATCATTTACTAACTAAATTTGTTTCATAAACAAAAGTCAAATAGCGATCCCCTCAACCCAATTGATATTATATGCAATGATTTTTTAAAAGATTGTTAAGTATTATTATAAGGCATATGAAGCCTAATAAAATAAATTTTTATTATACAAATATTCTTATTTTTAATTTATTTTTTCAAGGTAAGAAAATAAGGATATTTTTACAACAATAGTTTGAGATATTTTTCGTCCAATTATAACAAAATTCAGAGGAATCGAACCTTTTCAATAATCTAGATTTTAAAATGAAGGCCCTCCATTTTGAATCTTGTAAAGGTATTTAAACATGTTTTTCCCCGTCATCTTATAATGAATAAGAAAACACAAATATATCGGGAATAAATTTTTGATTAAGATGATAAACAGTTTCATCTTTTTAAGAAAGAAAACACAAACCTAAATCTCCAGAGACATACTTGCTATAATATTAAATTCAAAATGACCTGAAGAGCCTCTACCTGCACACACCCACACAAAAGAAAGCATAGACATATCAAAATCTCAGTTATTGTTTTGGATACGAAAAGCATGTCATTATTTGACCAGAAACTTCAATGTTCGCACGTCTTGTTTGATTATGAAATTAATGAAACCTAAAGTTAGCTTTCATCAACCCTTTGATCGCACAAAAGCAACTTGAACGAAAAATAAATCAAAAGTCAACAAAAGCAAGATAAAAGATTGCGATATTTTACATATGCTGGATCACATGTGGCCCCCCAAAAAAATGCAAATTGAATGATATCTCACGTAATTTTACAGTTATTATTTATAGACGACAACAAAAGAGAGTTACGTCTTGAAACTTTCTAGCTTATTAACATTTTTGCCTTTTGGACAAACCATTGATCATGTTGTACTAGTTCTGATTCTTAATATAAGATCTTGTTTGGTTTTTATTTTGGTCCTAAATATAAAACTCTAATCTACTTTGTCTTTTATATTTATATATTTTCTTCTAAAGTAGTCATTTTAATAATGATAGTTATAGTCAATACACTTGATTAACAAAGATATTTTAGGAAAGACAATATCTATCTATTACAAATAACTAACTTAACTTATTTTCTTAATCTCCTCAAATTAGTTAACTAGCTCTTATAATTAGGACCGGAGGTAGTATCTAACAAATAAGATCATGATTAAAATTGTACATTCACCCATTATTATAACTGCCACTGTCATATTCTAAGTGGAACTTTAATTATTTGAAGCAAAATAAGATGATGACCATTGTTTTCTGTTTTGGTGGATCGAAGCTCTTTTTGTTTACTTGTTATATTTTGTTTCATGTCCTTAGAGCCATAATTTGTATTATTCTGTTTTGAAATTAATAAACAAGCTTTTCTTAGCCAACTAAAATTAACACGCCACATATTAAAATAAAAAGAATACTCGCGTCAACTGTATCTTTTTTTGTCTTTAATACTACCTCCGGTCATAATTATAAGAGCCAGTTGACTAATTTGAGGAGATTAAAGAAGTAAGTTGAGTTAGTTATTTGTCCTAAATAAGTGTTGTCTTTCCTAAAATATCCTTACTAATCAAGTGTATTAACTATAACTATAATTATTAGAAGGATTATCTTGGAAAAAATTGAGTAAATATGATAAACAAAGTGGATTGGGGTCTTATATTTAGGACCAAAATAAAAGTCAAACAGGATCTTATATTAAGGACCGGAGGTAGTATAGAGTAGTTAATTAGAAAGTTGTTGTTGGTCCTATATATAAACCCTAATTCATATGTTTATCAATTGTTTTTTTAGATTAACCCTATTAATATTTTTTTTTAATAATAATTAAGTAGGAGAGGGAGGGAGGCAGAGAGAATTAAAGAAGATACTTACAGTATTATTTTAAAGAAAAAAATATCATAAACTAATTTAACTAACATTTCTAATCTACCCAAACAATTGCACCCATATCTTTACATTCATGAATTGCAATTTTGTTTGGCTGGTTTTATTATAAAAACTTTTAGAAGGAACTGATAATTTTTATTATAAATTACTAAACGAGTCATTAATTATTTTTTTAAAAACCAGTCCTCACAAAGTTTAATAGAAGTTTTTTGTTCATTTCATTACTTTTCCTCTAATCCCAATTTTTTTATATGATTTTAAATATGAGTAAAATGGTTCTTTTTTTTTTAAAATGAAATTATGCCTTATGCTCAATCTTTTCATGTTTCTAACCCAACAATTTTTAGAATATATATTTTGTGCCGAACCTTCATGAAATTGAAATCTGCTGGGGCCGTACCTATAATGTAACCTAGCGAACTCGTGCGCCCACAGCCCCACACAATACCCAGCAATCAGCACAGCAACAAAATAGCACAGAGAAAAGTTTGTGTGCGTATAACTTATGGAAACTGGACAGAGAAAAAAAAGGGGGGGGGTTTTAATGTTTTAATTTAATGGTTGAGAGTACATAAATATAGAGAGAGAAAGGAAGAGAAAATTAAAAAAAGAAGTGAGAGGGACAGAGGGTAGGATCAATAGTAGGAGTGTTGCGGGCTTAGCTGGACTGGGCGGGATAACCGGAGGTCAAACCCACCTTAGGACCCAACCGGAGCCGGATTCACTGTTACACTCTGCTGCTCTCCCATTTCTGCTTCTTCCTCGTTGATCGCTCTCCCATCTTCAATTTTTATTATGATTTACAGATTATGGTATAGGATTTTCAACTTTTCACCACTTCAAGTTTCTTCCTTTTTTTTTGCCTTTTGTTTTTCCCCCTCTGGGTTGGTGAGTCTTCTGGGCGCGGGTGGTTGTTGGAGGGGTTTGAGAAGAAGTAGAAGCAAGCTGCCTGCGAGTGATAGTTCGCAGATAATCCATTGTTTTCACATTTCACTTTTCTCCCTCAAATTGTAATTTTCATTGCTACTATAGTATTGTCTCAGTTTTCTCAAAATTTGAAATTTCCCTTTTCCCTCTGTCTTCCGTCCACTGAAGAAAGAGAAAAGAGACGAGGCCCAGAAAGCGATACCCATTTGTTTTTTCTTTATCAGAGATTTGAAGAATCAAAGCTTCTGATTGAGGTAAGAGTTGTTTATTTTTTTTAATGGGTTATTTTTCTCATTGGAATAAAATGTTAAAGCAAGTATTTTTAAGAGGGAGATAAACGTGTTCTTTTGCAGTGGGTGTCTCTAATTGTGATTATTACAGAAATATATATGCATTAACACACGCATATTTGAGAGGAAGATGGGAATGCTTGGATCTTCGGGTCAGCCCTCATAAGAGACATGGTGGATCGGCGAAGCCTAGTGTCTGTTGGGTTCTTATTCTCGTTGCTGTTTCAGTTCACATTTGAACAGATTGTGCCATTGAGTTCAAACATAGAGCAAGCTGCACTTTTTGACCTTAGATCGTCTCTGGGCTTGAGGAGCAAGGAATGGCCGAGAAAAGTCGACCCTTGCTCTCTCTGGAAGGGCATCACGTGCGAGAATGGTCGAGTCATTGGGATCAATATTTCTGGGTTTAGAAGAACCCGTCTTGGGAAGCTAAACCCGCAATTTTCAGTCCAAGCCTTAGCCAATTTTACTCTCTTGCAGTCTTTCAATGCCTCCAATTTTCTGCTTCCTGGTTCTATTCCTGACTGGTTTGGCCTACAGCTCTCATCTCTGAAAGTGCTTGATCTTCGGTCTTGCTCTGTTAATGGTGCTATTCCTCCCAGTCTAGGGAATTTAACGAACCTCACTAGTCTGTATTTATCTGATAATAGTATTACTGGGATAATCCCTGATAGTCTGGGTCAACTACTAAGCCTTTCAGTTCTTAACTTTTCGAGGAATCGTCTTTCTGGAACCATTCCAGCATCGTTTGTCTCTCTTGGGAATCTTTCCTCTATTGACATTTCCACCAATTCTTTGTCTGGCTCAATTCCTCCTGGCATTGGGGCCCTCACAAGGTTACAGTACTTGAATCTTTCCGATAACAGTTTAATGGCTTCGATACCCTCTCAGCTGGGAAATTTAAGTAGCCTGGTTGACCTTGATCTTAGTTTTAATTATTTGACCGGTGGGGTGCCTCCAGAATTAAGAGAGCTGAGGAGCTTGCGGAGAATGATACTAAGCTACAACACGCTTGATGGACCTTTGTCAGAGAACTTGTTTCCTACTTTGTCACAGTTGCAGGTTGTTGTGCTGAGACAAAACAATTTCACTGGTGATCTGCCTGCTGCACTGTGGTCTCTGCCGAGATTGAGCTATCTCGATCTGTCTGGTAACAATTTCACTGGTATGCTTCCAAATTCTAGTTCGAATCAGAACACGACTGCTGCTATGCTTAACATTTCCAATAATATGTTTTATGGAAGCCTTAATCCTAATATCAGAAGGTTCAGAGTCATTGACCTGTCAAGCAATTATTTTGAGGGCAAGATTCTAGATTTCATGCTCAATGTACCTCCAAACACCAACTGCCTCCAAAACGTTTCAAATCAGAGGACGGCTGGAGAATGTGCGTCGTTTTATGCTAAGAGGGGCCTCACTTTTGACAATTTTGGACGCCCAAATTCAACTGGACCTCCTGCGACAGAAAGCTCTCGGAAGAGCAATAGATATAAGATTATATTGGCTGGAGTCTTGGGTGGATTTGGTTTGCTTGTTATTTTGTTGTTGCTATTGTTCTTGTTCCTTCTTTGTACTCGTAAGAGGCGTAATTCAAATCAAAGAGGAAATGGTGTGGGCCCTGCTCCTCCTGGGAGCAGTCCTCCAGCTCCTGGCATGTCAATCAATTTCATAAATGTGGGAGATTCATTTACAATACAGCAGCTGCTTCAGGCTACAGGTGATTTCAATGATGCAAATCTTATCAAACATGGCCACTCTGGGGATCTCTTCAATGGTGTTTTGGAAAGTGGCATACCTGTAGTCATTAAAAGGGTTGATGCGCGTGCAACTAAAAAAGATACTTTCCTAGTGGAATTGGACTTTTTCAGTAAGATTTCTCATACTAGATTTGTTCCTCTGCTGGGTCATTGCTTAGAAAATGAGAATGAGAAGTTCCTTGTTTATAAACATATGCCAAATGGGGACTTGTCAAATAGTCTCTATTACAAGAAATCTACATCTGAAGATGGTACTTTGCAGTCATTGGACTGGATAACAAGGTTGAAAATTGCTATTGGAGCTGCGGAGGCCCTATCTTATCTTCATCATGAGTGTAATCCACCCTTTGTTCATAGGTAATTCTGACTTGCCTCTTGCTTGATTCTGAAAACATTTCTTCTTTACAAATTATTTTTCAACATGATTGTTTTTCCCCCCCTTCTATTTACTGTTTGCTGTGACGGCATAATTTGTGTCATGACTCTGGAACTGGCAACTCTCAAAAGCTGCAGTTATTAGGAGTAGGCCTTAAATTGTTTCAGTCTCTGACACACTCTTTTATGTGAACACCCTTTGAACTTGGAGCGTGGGCAAAATATTCAACCACCATATTTAATACTCCAATGTAATTGTGAATACTGGAGGCAGCTGGGATTGAATCTTGACATTTTTGTCATAGGGCTTTGATAATTTGTTATAAATTAATTTATCTGAAAAGGTTTAGTTGTTAGGTGTAATTCCTGGAATGGATTTTACATCCAACAGAAGTCCTTGTTGGGATCATATTGAAGAATAACAACAATAAAGTTACTGATAGGTAGGGAGTTTTTGGTCATATCACAAATTGGCAAAAAATTGGTTTTTTGGTTTCCAATGATGCTATCGCGCATCTGATTAATTATTACTAAATATGCTATGTTCTGTAGTGAAAATGTTGCCTTGTAAATGGATTGCACCGCTAAAATTATGTGTCCTTCAACTTTAAATGATTGGACCAAATGAGAGGGAAATCGGAAACAAGTTCACAGTGGGTACATTCTTTGCAACTTGTTTATTTTCAACCATCAAGACCCTGCTTGTCATGACTTTTTCATGCCTTTACATGTTAAAATAAGCTGAATGGTGTGCTGGCGGTAACAGGTCTATCCTTTTGTTATTGCAGAGATATTCAAGCCAGCAGTATACTTCTAGATGATAAATATGAAGTTCGGTTGGGTAGTCTAAGTGAAGTCTGCACCCAAGAAGGGGATAGTCATCAAAGCAAAATTACGAGGCTGCTAAGGTTGCCTCAGTAAGTACTCCTCGTTCTATTCAATGAATCTCATGAACATTATGTCTGACTAGTATCAATTTAAAATATGTATGCACTGTATTTCCTTTGTTTTATATTTTCGCCTTTTTGGCTTTTTACTTGGAAATATTGATGCATCTAATTGAAGTTATTATCCACTTTTGATCTTATTTAGAAATGTCATTGTGTCTTTTGAATTTTCTGATAATGGATGTTGCTAAATTTTGGTTGGGAGTGATGGATTTATTACAATTTTCTGAACTACTTTTTTACTGTATGCTATGAATTACTTATTTGATTCCAATAGTTAGATTTATATCTGGTCATCGTAACTCCCTTAGTGACATGGTTTCCTTGACATTTTGGGTTTAAACTTTGAACCATCTGTATGAGGTGAAGTTCCTTGTTTTGGGACATGGGAAGGTGAATCCTTCAAAACCTCCAAGATCTATGCTAACTGCTGTCAGTTAACGCTAAAACTTGTGCAAAGTGCTATTTGTGTTCTGTCTTGCCCTGGAATATAACTTAGAGTAAGGACAATGCTGTGATACAATTGGAAAGACGTCTTCCTGCCAAATAGTACTTAACCCTTGCTGAGTTTATATCTTTTGTCTTCTTTCTCATTTTCCACATGTAATTTATTTTTTCCTGGTTCTGTTGCACACGAGTTTTGGACAAGTTTCATTACAATACTTGCTGGTGCTTTCCAGTTTTGTTTTTTCTTGGTAAATTCATTTATCTCATTTGTCATTTGTCATTTTAATTTGCAGGTCCTCTGATCCAGGCACATCTGGTAAGTAGAAATTCACAAGTTTATTTGGTCAGGTAGATTCGTAGCCAATTCTTTGCCTTGATCGGATGCCTGATTATTTACCTGATTAGAACTCATCTTATATTAATTCTCTTTGCTTTGTTTTATTTGTCCAGTTTCTCATTTTACTTCTGACTTAAGTAAAAACAGCTATATTATTGTGCTTAACTGTCCCATCTTTAATTCACACTGTCCTGCTTTAAAGACATCAGGTTGTGCTTTTGAAGTCAGCAACGAAACGAACAAACAATTTGACGTAGCAGATGAAACATTCGTTTAAGAATTACTTGAGAGCTATAAATTTATCATTTTATACCATTTGAAATTTGTTTCTGTTGCTTCTCCACTGACAGAAATTTTCCAATCTGTCTTTTGTTACAAAAGTCTTGTTTACTGTGTAAACAGGTTCATCTACATCAAATTGTGCCTATGATGTTTATTGCTTTGGTAAAATATTGCTTGAGTTGGTGACTGGGAAGATGGGAATTAGTGCGTCCAGTGATGCTGAATTTAAGGAATGGTTGGATCAGATGCTGCCGTACATTAGTATTTATGACAAGGAGCTTGTCGCGAAAATCGTGGATCCTTCTCTGGTTGTAGATGAGGATTTCTTAGAGGAAGTGTGGGCTATTGCTATTGTTGCAAGGTCTTGCCTAAATCCTAAACCTTCAAGACGACCCCCCATGCGATATGTTCTCAAGGCTTTAGAAAACCCCTTTAAAGTTGTGAGGGAAGAAGGTGCCGGTTCTTCACGGCTTAGAACAACCTCTTCTAGAGGCTCTTGGAATGCTGCTTTGTTTGGTAGTTGGCGTCAGAGTTCATCTGATGTAACGGCAATCCCAGCAGCTTCTGGTACCAAAGTGGAAGGAGGGAGTAGTTTGAAGCATTCTGGAACTACCGGCTCACAGGGTAGTGGCCACAATGGCGGTGGTTCATCATCCCGGAGGCGACATTCAAGTGAAATATTCCCAGAGCCATCTAACATACAGGACATAGAGAGGCCAGAGCAGTAATAGCTGAAGGGTCAAAGACTCATGACTCAGCAGGGTTTCTGGTCTGGTTTGCTGGTCCAAGGATGCCTGTCTGCCATCACATTCTTTTTGGTTGGAATTGGCACATGTTGTAAATTTCTGCGGATAAAGTGAGGTTTAAATTACTTTAACATGATGTCTTTTGAGGCGGGGGGGTTGTCTTGTTTTTTTTCAGTGGGTCAGGTGGAAAGGTAGGGAGAGCAAGAAGGCCAAGTGCAGTTGGATTCTCTTTAACTGCTTATTTTGGGTAGAGGAGCTCACAAAACACCCCCCCCCCCGGGGGGTAATTGATTCTTTCTTTTTCTTAGTTTTTTCTTATTTTTTCCCCAAAGCTTCTTACTTTGTGCCCCAGTTCTCTCATGGAGTGTAAATTTGAATGATCAGATTTCTTCATTCAGATCAGAGTTGTCATTGTGGGAGGCAAAGAAAAGGAAAGAATGATGAGAAATGAGAAAGAAAATAATTTATACTGATTGTTTTGGCCCTGGATCCATTAGTTGGCTAAATGTTATTAAGAGCAATGACTATTTACTTATTTCTGAATTCTGACATCTCAAAGCGTTTGCACATCTTTGGCCTGCGGGCTGCGGCTGATTAACTGGTCTTTAACGTTTCAACTGCCATTTAGTGGGAGAACACGTAGACTAATGAATCGTGGTGGTAACGGAGGGAAAAAAACTATTCTGGCAGTTTGGCAGTTAAAAAACAAAAAGCATACACAGAAGGTCCCACCGAGATTTGAACTCGGGTTACTGGATTCAGAGTCCAATGTCCTAACCACTAGACCATGGGACCACTATTGGAAGGTGCGGCGTTATTTAAAATAATTAAGAATATTCACTAACCAGAATCTATGTTTTCCCTTGGCGAACGACGTCGTATGTGTTCAGTGGAAGTTTATGGTAGGGTTTAAGCCGCGCTTTCGATCCCTCACTGACGACGGACCAGACCTTTCCCGAAGCAGCAATGGCTTCTTTGTGTAGATCAGCATCGAGGCTGACCTCAAGGTCCATCATAAGTCGTTCCAAAATCCTCACCCAGAAACCCCTCTCTCCTTTGTCTCATTCGTCTCTCTTCTCTTCGTCTTTAACATCGGCCGTTCCCCGCGCTTCTAGGTACACACCACCTCAAATTGAACCTCAAACTTGAGCTTGCTTCTGCATTCCACTTTATCTGCTCCTCTCTATTATTAGTTTTCGAAGAGAAGGGTGCATAGTGTGTTTGTGTGAGCGTGTGTGTGTGTCTATATATATATATATATATTTATATAACGAGTGCAAAACGATAGCAACACTGTAACAGTGCGATGTATTCATGCTGCATATAGATTTTCATTTTTGCGGCAACAATTTTCGTTTCTTCTTTTGAATTTGGAATAATGGATTTTGAAGGATTTTGTCCGTAATGGGAAGCGTCGAGTCGATGATGCCTCTTCACAGTGCCATTGCAAATGCTAGACTTACTTCCAGCATCGCCGTCGATTCCAGCTGCTGGAGTTGGCTTTCTCGAGGTACTTCTTTCTTTCCTATGTGTTTTCTTGTTCTTTCTCCTGATTTTAATGTAATTTGACTCAATGCATGATTTCTCTTTCCATGATTTCTTATGCATTTATAAACACAATCTGTTCCTTTCATTCCATACATTTCATCCAAGCACACCTTAACCAGCCTTTTTTTTCCTTTTTTGAAAGCGGGTTGGTCCCTGTTGCTTTTACTATCTGTTAGGCATGCAGCTGTGGTATTGCCTTTTCTATATCGCGCTTAATGTGTATCCTGACATATTCTTCTACTTTCTTGTATAGGACTTTATAAAACATTGTGACAGGTCTTCGTTCATCTGGATCTATTCAAGATGAAAGAAAAAATAAAAAGAGACTATTTGGCTGTCTTTCATGTGTCACCTTAGGATGGGAAAAGAACCTCTAATTTTGGAATCCGAGCCATTGTATTGTGCAAGGCATGCAGACTTGTATAGTAGATCTTCTTTTAGTTGGCTAAAAGAAGATTACTGATTTGCTTCTGATACATTTCCTTTTCTTTTTTTGATTCCTTGACACTTGATATTGTCTGGATGTTCTGTTCTGTTCCCGATCTCTGGAATCCTAGAGCGATGCTTTTTCATTACTGATTTAATCTGTAGATTTTGTCTATAAAACTTAATCTTCCTTATCTAAAGAGTCAATGAATAATGAATCTATTTTACTTGATTAGGATCAGCGTTACATTAGAATGAAGTTAAAAGTATTCCTTCTCTGTTCTACTTGATATGATTCGTGATGTTCTGTTGCTCTACAGCCTGTGCAGTAGTCTTTGGGATCGTGACAAATATCCTCTCCAGAAAATGAGAAAACTAGAAACACTAGTACTTTTTAGTTATCCATATACTAATCGACATGGGGCTATACAATTTTGATATGAGGACTTGGGAATCCAATTAAACAAATTTACCATTACTTGTTTCCTGGTGAAATTGCCACCATCATCCTGCCTGCCGGTGTTATGCAGAGACCCATGCTTCTTTGCTGGTTTACATGAATCTCTCGTGGTGCATGGTACTTTCTAGGTGTAATATCATAACATCTGCGTATTCACCAGAGTCTAACCCTTCATATGTAGGAGTGAGCTACTTTGCTTACTTGTTCCCTGAACTAAAATAGGTATGCTTTGAGTGTTTTGATTGGATGTCTGGGTTATCAAGATTTTAAATTCAAGGATGCTTCTGTGTTGTGTTTTGAAGACTTTGTTTTGGCCCTGGAGACATCATCGAATCTGATCATCTGCTGCTCCATGATAATTACCCTTCTGATTTTTCTGTTTAGTCAAAACTCCCTTCTGCTTGTCTTCAATTTTGCTTCGGAAAGCGCTTCCTTTAAAGCTTAGCACCTTAAATCTTTTACTTCCTTCTGGTGATTGTAATGCATTTGTTCTATTGATTTATCTAGACTTTGCAGTTCCTCGGTGACAAAGATTAAAGGATTCGGTAATTTCAATCGTTTAGTTGGGTTGCATCTGAGTTTATGTTGGCTTACACGTTCACCTTCGCCCTCTTATCCAAAAGGCTCACATAATTGGGGTTCCCCACATGGCCTGGAGCATCACATCAGATTCAAATGTTTTGTTTTTCCTCCCATTCTGTGAACCTCTTATTGACCATCAAGGCATTATGATATAAAGTTAGGATCGCTGGCAGAACATATGTCCTGCAAAACAATGAGGAACTCCTTTTTTTCTATACGAGTCCATCTTTCAATGCATGACCCGTAAAAGCTCTTCGAATTCTCTATTATGTGAATCGGTGGGCCAAGATATTAAGAAACGCCTCCATTTATTCAATTATTCATAGGTGTGTGATTTATTTTTCTTGGACGATATCATATAATGTGAATCAGTTGGTTTTGCTCGTATTTGATATATCACTGACAACTTTGCTGGGAAGTTGATATGGCTACTGAGAGTTGTCTGTTTGCTTTGGCAATTACATGTATGATGACGGCAGGCCGGGACGGTCAATTTTTGTGTGCAAAAACTTGGTGATAAAGTTTAACTCCGTAAAGAAAAATAAATCCGGTGAAGTATGCGACTCATGATTCGGAAGCAGAAATGGGGAAAGGGTAGTATTGATACGGGGATGATCCTCTCTTTGCTTAAGCATTTCTTGCACTTGGTAATAATAATAAGACTAAAGTATATATTTGGTCCTTTAATTTTGTACAAAATTTTAATTTAGTCTTTTAATTTTAAAAAATATATATATTTGGTTCTTTAACACTAAAATCATTAGACTTTAATGATTATTTTTTGTAACAATAATAGATATTTTGAAAATTAAATTTAATATGTTAGTATTCGAGAATATTTTATTAACATTTAAAATTTTAATGTTACATTTTTAAAAAAAAAAATTAAGGATTAAAGAACTAAGAGTATATTTTTTAAAATTAAGAGATCAAATTGAAACTTTGTATAAAGTTCAAGGACCAAATATATACTTTAGCCTAATAATAATTAACAAAGAAGATGAATTAGCAGCTTGAACACTTATAAAAGCTTTACCTCGTGTTTTTTTTTTTTTGGCAAACAATCATAAGTTTATAACTAAAGAGAAAAATTAATCTTGTAATCCTTTAAACATTAACTCAGTTACGGTTTAGTTTCTCAATTATTATTCCGTGTGACATAGTCACATCACTAATTACCGTTAGCAAGCCATGGTAAGTTATATATAACAAGGATTAATTTATTAAATGAAAAAAATTTAATTTAATTTTTTTTTGGGATTAAGTCGAGAGACTAATAAGCTTTACATAGTCACCGAATGACGGAGAGAGAATAATACAAGGGCAACGTCAAAGGGCGACAAAGTCAAAGTTCTGGAGCTTGCTTATCACCTAAAAGATTGTTACTTCCAATATGCACATCTTAAACTTCATGAACATTGATATACATGTGAAAAATGTTTGGCTAGAAGCGAAACAACAAAAAAACCGTAAACATTTGCCTCATTTATGAGTGATCTGGTTTCAAGGGTTGGGCTGCACGTCGAAACCAGGTGTTGAATGCAGTCACCAAGTGAGGGCAATCTTCAACATTTCGGGTTGAGAAGCTGAGGCATTGCTGCAACAGTTCTTGAGCATCTGACATAGGCAATGTAGAGATTATCCTCAAAAATGTTTCTTCCAGCTCCAGATACAATGATTTGTTAATGGGTAACATTGGTGCAACATTATCTTTGCATGTAACTAGAACAGGTAGCCAATCTTCAACTAGTTTTCTTCTCACCTGAGCCGAACAATCAAGTATACATAAGCAAGTTTGTTTAGTAATGCCTAAATGAAAAATTGACCTGTAAAACAGTAATTCCTTTGGACATTGAAACACGTGAATGTGCAACAAAATATACAAGGCCAAAAACTATAATGGTCGATTTTGCACAATAACCTTTAATGGTAGAAGTCTCATAAGAATGGTCCTATAGAAACTAGAAATGCAAGTGAAACAAATGGTTAACATTCTCAAATATTTAATTGCCCAATACTGTTACTTGAAATTGATTTCCAGCATTTCCAATTACTTCAAGAGTTACGTGCTAAGAATGTATACTTTTACGGGTTTTTCCCATTAAATACTAACAAAAAATAAAGAGAGACATCCAATGCACTGCTTAGATAATAGTCAAGTTAATTCAAAACCAGAAGTAGATCCAGATCAGGAAGAACTCCCTTCATCCCATAGTCCTCTCAAGTCTCAATATGTGCAGAAGGTGATGCAAAGAACTACACAATCTTCACAACTCTGGACTTATCAACCATTCAGCTCAAAAACACATTGATAACAAAATATGAAATAAAAAAGACTCAAAGTAGCCCCACAAAGTTGTAGTGCATCTATGGCAGCTAAGTAAATCACATTAATAGCAATACTCATGTTCTTCCAATGACCAAGGAAGTGGAGACCTAAAGCGTAATGATCTCAGGCAGTTTTGACATCAAATGAACAGAGTTTAGGGCCTTTCACTCATTTACACAAGATCAAAAATTAAAGATATGTGTTTCTTCAACGAAATAAAACACATTAATAGTTAGGAAACCATGCCTACAGATTAACTTGCGTTTTTGAACTATTCATCTTTAGTCTCAGATATATCTCTGCATCACACGCATCAGTCTCCATCCTTTGATTTTTCACCAAAAATTTTAAGTAAACTAAGCAATATTAAGAGTACCAATCCATTGATCGATGCCACCCGCAGTTGCAAGTTTATCATACATCCCAATGACGCCGCATAATAGATTGCGTTCAAAAGTAACTATATGTACTACCATCGGTAAACGAACCCATCATCTCTTTCAATTTTACTCAAGCGAAAATTCTACAAGCTCAGGATAGAGTGTGCTGAGCAAAATCTTCGAAAGTCTTCTTAAATTTGAAAAATGACAAGTCGGTACATGAGCATGTGATTCAACTATCAACATGTAGGGAGAAACTCAGAGGATCATTCGTTTAACCATTAAACAAGTATCTGCTCGGATACACAGGTCTAATAACGAAAGGAAAAGCACAGAATGGCGCTTAAAAAACATAAGGTCGCTAAAAATTGGCGACTTCCTATGGATGTTGGTTGCTCAATCTTAAAAATGGAGCACTTTGGCAGCACAGCCTTATGGCAGCGCATAAGCTAATAAGGTCAGGGAGTCATGTCAGTCAAAGACACAAAAACAAAGAATGGACCTAAATATAAAATATAAACAAGTTAATAAAAATCCTTGAAGCGAACACAATGATGAGATGCAGTGAGGTTCTTATTCCTGAAACTCTGCCGTGCAATAGATTCTTAGAATAGAGCAAGAGAGAAAATGTTAAAAGGTCGGGAAAAAAAATATACCGGTCTAGTAGCCAAGATAGTGCCAGCGGCAACTGCATTTGCTAACTTGCAAGTGCACCGAAGCATGACAGCAGGGAGACCCGGCGCAATATTTCTCCAGGCATCATCCCGAAAAGCCCTCTGCAAATCAGCAGTGAACGCTGCCTGCTCACTCCATTCTTTGACGGCCGTATCAGCCACTCTCAGCTCGATCATTCTCTCCACCAACCACAGAAGATGCTTTCCATTTGTCATGGCTTTGTGCAAATTCAACCGCTGAATCGCCTCCGTTTCATTATGGTCCCCTCTAAAATCCGGACTGGAATACTCCTCCAAGGACTCTTTCACTGTCTTCAAGCTCATGTTAAATGCCTTCTCCAGCACCCGCTTGGCCGATTCCCTCGAAGAAAAATCCCTCAAAATCTTAGCAACAAAAGCCTTGACATAGGCCATGTTCTGATAATTGTGAATGGCCGAAAGTATCAAACCTTCAAGCATAACTTCACACGAATCCTCCCTTAACGGGGAAACCCTGGCAAGAAGCTCCTTTGATTCCTCCTCACTCAGAAAAGGGATCAAGTTCAAGACTCTCTTCTCTTCCTCTTCCGTCCAAGGGACTGCCTCCAGGAAAGTAACGCATGAACGAATGCAATCCTCGAACAACAATTCGAGGGCAACTGCGAGGAGATCGAGAGCAGTGGATGCACTATCAATGGTATTAGCAAAATCATTAGTATAGAGCAATTCAAGCACCGTGAGATGGGACTGAATTGAACCAGGAGTAGAAGGAACACTAAGATTAAGTCTAAACAAGTTATCGGAGTCATCTGGTTTGGACTGGCCCATCCATCGGTCAGATAAGAGAGCAGAGAAGTAATTCGAACGGCGGAGTATGTCAGAGTGGAGGTAGACGGAGGTGGAGGGGGAATGGTCGACGGAGCGAGAATCGGAGGAAGATTCAGTCGACGAGGCGGTATCGACAAAGAGGCGCAGGATCACGTCGGCGGTAGAAGAGTCGTTAAAGAAGCTGTCACTGCCGCCGCCGGCACCAGTGGTGGTTGGGCTACGGCGTCGGGTTTGGGTAACTTCGGCGACGCTAATGTCGGAGAGCGATGTGTCGATGACTGCGATCGTGGACAAATGGCGGCTGCTGGAGGGCCCGGTGGCGCGGTGGCGCTTCTTGGGGCCGCCGATTGTCATTGTGCGGGTGAGACGAGAGATTCAAAGGCGAAGTAAATTAAATAAGGAAGAGAAATCTGGAAGGAAAAAAGATCGAGTGGGAAGGTTTCCTGGATTAAGGCCGGTATGAGATCAATGTTTGAGGGATGGGTAAGGCAGGGAAAGAGGTGAGCGAGAGTCGGATTCGGAGAGAAACGGGGACCGCGCTGTTTTTTGGTTTATATAATTTAAAAGACAAACTAACTAACGAAAACACGCATGTCCTTATTTAATTATAATATAATTAACAAAATAGCACTTCCTCCATCTCACTTTTAAGGAATTAAAAACAATATCATTGGACAATATATAAACGAAAAGAAAGTACGAACTTATGATCTATATCATACATAAAAATTGCTAAGTTGTGTCTAAAAAATGTGAAATTATCTTAATCATTAAATGAGTATACAATTTTTTTTAAAAAAAGAAAAGTTCTGCTCATTAGTTACGTGGATTGGCCTCTTCTTTTTTGTTGGGCCGGCTATATTAGCCTACCTTGAATGGGCCTGGCCCAGCCCTTCATTCGCATCCTAAAGGATCATTAGTCATGCCATTTTTTTTGGGGGGTACAATGTTATTCTTGTATTTAAACACATCAAAAATATAAAGTATCGGGACTAGGGTGTGTTTGGATGAAACCAAACCGTGGTTTGAAAAAGTAATTTTGGAGAATAGATTTTGGGAAGGATAGATTCTGAAAAGAATAGATTTTATGAAAAAGTGATTTTGAGAAGTGAGAGTGTTTGGATAGTTGTTATCAGAAGCACTTTTTATATATACAAATTACTAAAAAAAAGACATAAGTTAATATGATAATTACAGAAAAAATAGATTTTATGATATATTTTAATTTGAAGGAATAAAATTGTTAATGATATATTTTTTATTAACATAATTAATAATACATAAGATAATATAATTAATATGTATATATATTTATAAAATATAAGATTAAATATGTTTATAAAAAAATATATTTATAAAAAAAATAACAAGATACATATCCTATAGGTTCTCACACTCTCCATTTTTTCTCCAAAAGTAAATTTTTTTTGCTTTTTTCAAAACCATGATTTTGGTTTTTGGGTGGGTGTTTGGATGATTTATTCCCCAAACCATGGTTTGGGGTGTCACCCAAACACAGCCTAGTGGTGTGTTTGGCAAGCACCCCAAACCATGGTTTTGGGACCCAAACCATGGTTTGGGAAAAACGTTAGCCAAACACCCTTAAAAAAATCAAAACCATGGTTTGGGTTCAAACCATGGTTTTGAGAAAAGCAGAAATTTTTTACTTTTGGAGAAAAAAGGGAAGAGTGTGAGAGCTTATAGGATATGTATCTTGTTGTTTTTTTTATAAACATATTTTTTATAAATATATTTAATCTTATATTTATAAATATATATAATATTAATTATTATTAATTATATTAGATTATTATATAATATGCTAATAAAAAATATATTATTAACAATTTTATTCCTTTAAATTAAAATATATTAAAATATATTTTTCTATAATTATCATATTAATTTATGCAATTGTATATATAAAAAGTACTTCTAATAACAACTATCCAAACACTCAAACTTCTCAAAATCACTTTTTCACAAAATCTATTCTTCCCTAAATCTATTTTTAGAATCTATTCTCCAGAAGCTATTCTCCAAACCATGGTTTGGTTTCATCCAAACACACCCTAGATCTTTTTTGGACTAGGATTCAATTAATGCATTTTCTTAAATGCATATCCTAAAATATTTTGTATTGTACTTTTTAAAAATATTTATTCAGAAATAATTTTATGTTTAAAGTATTTCTCCTTCTCCACCAAATTTCAGCATGCCCTGATTTTTTTTTGTAACAAAAATTTAGATGAGTTGAGCCCTAAAAAACTTATTAAGAAAATTCGAGACCTTATGAGTTGGGTATCAACTCTTCACTAATTAGACTATCTTTATTGGCATGCTCTATTAGTATTTGCTAAATGTTGCATGACTAAATATTATTTTAATAAATTTTTTCAATTATAATCTTAATCCCAATTCCTTATTTTTAATACTTTTATCAAACATAACTTATATGTTCCGTTTGTAAGTGTCCTGGGAAAAAAAAAAAAGTGCGATGAGCTAAGTGAATTACTGAAAAAGACTATTTAAAGTTAACTTAGCATAGCATTTGACCAGGAGCGCTTGCATATGATGTAAGTCACGCAACTCTTCAACCCTTCAACATCAAAATTTGACTTGTTCTCAGTCATTTTAGAGTTAAGGATCGAGAATATGTAAAAAGAATTTTCAAAACTACTAACGATTAATGATTAAAAATAAGAATTTTTATGACGCTTTTTTTTTTTTTGAAAAATCAAATAACTATAAAATCACAAAACATGAGGTCTTGCTTTCTTCCAAAATAAAAGGAAAAATAAAGTGCCAACCATGAAACTCAATTAAGGATGTTTCAAGAAACTTGCTTCTCTCGCCACTGAAAATGCGTACAATACATTTAACGTTACCATCCAAATCGTAGTGGGTGTCACTTACATTTCAACTCCCGTTTGGTCTGTTCGTTTTGCCATCTTTTTACTTTTATTTTACTTATTATTTTCCTTCCCAAAAATCTTCCTTATGCCTCATGCGACATCAATACGCATACAATTAAATATACGTAAAGACATATATTGATAACTCATAATTATAATAGTATATTCATTTAAAACTCACTACATTCTGCTATATATCTTATATTTTCACAGTTGATCTTTGTATACTGATACGATAACAAAAATAAGTATATATTTTTATATAAAAATTAATTTTATTATTAAACAATATATTATAAAATTTAAGTGTAGTTTGTTAGTATCATCTTCTGGTACCAAACCCGGAAAGGACAACCCAACTCTCACTTTTGTTTTATTGGTAAGGATAATAATAATAAAAAAAAAGAAACTCACTTTGATCTCTTTTTCTTTTCTTTTTCTTTCTTTTTCATTTTTTCCGTCGAAACGATGACACCCACCGGCGCTCTTTCTCCCTCACTTGGCTCGTTCTTTCAGAATTCAGACGTCCTTTCTCTCCCCTGCTTCGCTCTTCCAAACTCCAAACATTTTCTTACCATTTTCTCATCAACCAAACACTCCCCATGCCACTTTTCTAGCTCTCTTCTCCGCTAGTCTCAACCCATGTCAACCATCTCCGACCATTCCTCCACCAACTTTGTTCTGCATGAACTGAACAAGAGCACTCCTTTTCTGGGTTTACAACTTTACATCGTTATTTGTGTTTTTCTCTTCATCTTCGTCTTTCTGGTGCTTCTGATCTTCCTCTGCATTCGCCGGGATCGAAGCTCCACCAAACCCAGTACGCTAGCCAGCCAAAGCTCCGGCGTGATTCCGTTGGTGTCGAAGGAGATCGTGGAGGTCGAAGCCTTGGATCTTCTTGGTATTGAAGAAGAGAAAAAGCTCAAGCCAGGTCGTGATCTGAGGAGGAAGCAGGCGGAAGACGAGGAGATCAATGTTGGATTTCGGAGAGGGAAACAGAGGAACGATGAGACTGATGCCGTGGACGGCCTGAAGATGGGGTGGGGCCGTTGGTACAGCTTAGAGGAGCTTAACCTTGCGACACGTGGATTTTCCGACGAGAATGTGATCGGAGAAGGAGGCTATGGAATTGTGTACAGAGGAGTTCTACAAGATGGCCTGTTGTTGCTGTGAAGAAACTTCTAACAACAAGTAGGTGAAATGTCAAATTTTTCTTCCCCCAGAAAATTATTTAGTATATTCCTATCGTTATATCGATCCAACAACTAAATTTTCAATTTTCCTCATCAAAATCCTTCTCTAAATTTGACAGTTTAAGCCTTTTTGGTCATAAATATGTTTGTGCATGTTTGTTTGTTTGGACTTTGCTGATATAAATACACAATTTTTTAAGAGAAAATTTCAGATGATCCCGCTGTGTGTGTCACCTTCAGATTATGAAATAGGCTCTTGTTTTTGAAATTTAATTACAAGATTTTTAGTCTCCAACTGGAAAAGAAGATGGATTGACCAGTTGTGGATCTGGAATCTGCTTTGAGGGGTATAAGGAAAAGTGAAATTGGCCGCTTTGTTCTTCGTTTTGGCCTGCTTGTAGTTACTTTTCCATTTTTACTTTCAACTTTGGTTTATTTTATTATACCATTTATAATTATAATTGCTTTATCCCAATTTGCTTTTTACGTGAAGTATCATCTTGATGTCTATGAAACTGATTAGTTCACTAAAAGAGGAAAAACTATTACTTTGGCCTTATTTGAATTTCATAGACTAATAACTTCATAACTTCATTTTCTTTTTAACAGAACAGTAAAGTGTAATAAGTTGAGCATTGGATTATCTATCAAACACTGAAAGCCTTATAAGAATTCCTAAATGCAAAAGGATTGCTTCACATTTGGAAATAAGGTTCTTTCCTCTCTATTTTCCTGTAAATAGGGGTCAAGCTGAGAAGGAGTTTAAGGTGGAGGTTGAAGCTATTGGAAAAGTAAAGCATAAAAATTTGGTGGGTTTAGTAGGATATTGTGCAGAAGGTGCTCAAAGGTATTATTCTGTCCACTTTTTATTGATAAACTAAGTAGACCCAGTTTACAAAATATGAAACTAATTATTAACAGAACCTACTCCTAATTAAACATACTTATTTGTTCGTTCATAATTGGTTCGTCTACCATTTAGGATTCTTGTTTATGAATATGTTGAGAATGGAACCTTGGAGCAGTGGTTGCATGGTGAGGTAGGGCCTACCAGCCCATTAACATGGGATATACGTATGAGGATCGCCATAGGGACGGCAAAAGGGTTTGTGTTCTTTGAGGTTCTTGTCTCTAGAATTAAAATGCCCATCTTAACAGAATTGTTATCATGCCTCCCTGATTTTTCACTTTCGTGTCTGCTTTTACATAACGCGACAGGCTTGCCTATTTGCATGAGGGGTTAGAACCCAAAGTTGTGCACCGAGATGTGAAATCTAGTAACATTCTTCTGGATAAAAGATGGAATGCCAAGGTATCAGACTTTGGACTGGCCAAACTCTTGGGATCCGAGAAAAGCTACGTGTCTACACGCGTAATGGGGACATTTGGGT